ACACCTGGTTAGTATCTACTATCCCTATTTGCAGTAGCCCATTGCATAGTCAGTATAGGATCCTATGTAGATGATAGAGAATTCCTTTTGGGTCCATGCATCTCTTTCTCTGATGTTCTCCTCTGTGGTAGGAGAACTTTGCTTCCCAGTTCCAAATTGCTGGGGATGGCAACATAGAGAGTTTTCTGTAGGACTGGTATAATCCCACTTGTATGAAAACAAGTGGATGAACTCTTCAATTGGAAGTAGGGCTGGGGTGTTATTTTGAAGTCTAATACAAGCTGCCACACTACACTATGAATCAAGCCATTCCCAGTGGTCCAGCCAGCCAGATGGATCTTACATTCCCCTCAGGATGCAGGTCTGTACCAGCCTCTTGTAATATATTTTTTTATATACATCTCCAGAACTTTACAGCCTGAATTATTGCCCTAGCCACACTACACGCTCTTGCTTAGCTGATTACCTGAGAGATAATGGCCAGATGAGTAATCTTACATTCCACCCATCTGTGCAACACTTTGGACCACACAGAAGATACTTTTGTCAGTACCATTTTCTTTACCACTTTTAGTGGGCAAAAGGTATTCCCTTCATGATAAAGATGCTGTCTTCCAGCAAGTGTTGCCCCACTAATTTTCCACTCTTCCTATAGCAGGTGAACAACTCCATGGGTTTTTCCCTTTCTGACACTATATTTCAGAAAGGAGTTTATTTTTTATATTTCTACATCTTCTTAATGTGGGATTTTAGCTCTTTGTTGTGCAGTGAAGTGAATATACATTTCTGAAGTTAACATTTTTCTTACCTGAAAATGTATTTCATATACATACCTCTCTGCACAACCTCCTACCCTTCCTCCTCATTTCTGATATATTTCTTTTGCCTCACCAAAAATGAGCCTTCATTCCAATGCTAGTTCTCATTAGGATTAAAACTTATTGAGGATGTGTTGCCCTTCTGTTGTTGGAGAGTTATAGTCTTATGATGATTACATTGGCACATTACACACCAGTCAATGTGTGTAGGGGTTTAAGTTTCGTGTAAGGCTTGTGGCATGAACAAAAATTTTCATAGCAGTGGTGCAAGATAATAGGTCTTTGTTGTGCAGAGAGGTGAGTATCTATCTGAAATACAATTTCTGATAAAGAAAATGTTAACACAAACTTTTGGTGGCATGTAAGTTTTGACACAATACAATTGTAAATTTGGATCAAGTACAACTTTTTAGAATATTAGACATGAACTGCAGCATTAACCATGGGGCATTTCAATATAGTTTTAGATACCACTGATTAAAAGTATCAGTTGATGTTTTAACATTTTAAATTCTGTTATAAAACTACAAGTTTTCACTTTGATTTTAGAATCAGTATTTTAATAGTTATTTAAGCAGCTCTTTTTTTGATGTAACTCTTCTCTCTAAAACATATTCAAGACAAGTTTTAGTGATTCAAAGAAACTATTACAAAGGGTATTTTTGACAGTACAGGGCTCAAAATTAGTGGGGACCTAGGAGAAAATGGCCTCTCAAAATCAAATGAGTCATTAAAAGTTTGATCTAAGCATTTCTTAACCAAACAGAACTTATGACAAACCATGAATGGACCTTCCCAAATTTACGAACACTTGACAGTCATGTACAATCCACAAATGTCATCACTATGAATGCCAGTGTATTCAAAGTAAATGCAATTATGTTATATGAATGCTATCACTTTGTCCAATGTTCAAACTTTTTATATCAATGTAATGGAATTGATATATAAAAGTTCATTTATAAAATTTGAGATATAAAGTGATTATTTGAACTTTTAAACTTTTTGTTTGTAAATGTAGGCAAGTTAGGGCAAAACCTTTTGAATCAAACCTTACAGACTTTGCCTTAACTTGCAGACTGCACTGGCCAAAAATAAAAATAAAAAACATAATATTACTGTTTCACTGAAAATGTTACAATTGGAAATCACTGATTGCCGATTACTATAGCTCACAATGAGCCTGAGTCTGTTTATTTACAGTAAAGATGATGATCTCATTGTGTAGTATTGTTGAAAGTTTAACTCTAAAAATTGTAACAAATACAGAGAATGCCCTTTGAAGCTTCATTAATTATCAAAAGGTTGAAATTATCAATAAATGTACCATAAAAAAATTGCACTCTCTTTTCCGTTTTTTATTTGAACAAACGTAAAATAAAAGTGAGGACTGACTTTGTGGCTCATACATGATATATACATAACATTATGTGACCATTGCGAGAAACAAACAAATTGTTGAGATTCATTGCCTAAGTTCGTCATTCACTTTAGCCATAAGTTCAAAGACTTTTGCTATGACTCTACACATTTTGAACTAAACCATTTGTAAAACAAACTTAGTCTTTCAACCAAAGGTCAAATAAAGTGACAGTGTTTGAAGGTTTTCATTTTTAAGTAGAGGAAGATTTTTAAAAAAATTGACTTTGATAAAAAATGCTTCTAATTGTATCTTTATTGCATATGTAATGATCAACTTTCCAACCATACAAATAAAAACAACTTTACATGCATTATGATATAGAAGACCCACATCATGCTGGTTGAATTATTCAAAATTTATCACTTCGGCTTGACACACATGTTTTCGTCAAATGTGTTTCAAATTTCAGCACTTCACTGTGTCACTTTTGACATTTGTCTAAAATTATGAAAAAAATCAGCTTTTACTCTCAATAAAGACATATACATTCACCTGTTAGTTACAGGTGCAATGAGCAGTCAGTTATGAAAATTGCCCACCTTCATGATTCTTGTTTTTCAACCATTTGCTTGCCACTCACAAAACCCAAAATATATAGTTTTTCTCATTCAGAAGTAATCCAACTAATCAGCACTCACGTTTGTTGAGCCACTACTAACTTTTAGATAACTTCTTGGAACTGTGCTTATTCATAAATAATGGGACTTTAAAATGATGAAATAGAATGTTCCATAACTGTCCAATTAGTTAGTTATTTTGTAAATATCTGTCTTTACTTGTTTATCACTTTCAACTTATAGTGACATCTCTGACAGTGACATGTGCATTTCAACCAACTGACAAAACCACCTATTGGAAAGTAATGGGGCATTCCAAATTTTCAATCACTCTGTTGTCATGCACTCTTTGCCAACCCCTCCAAATAATGAGCTAATACACAGTGTAGTACTAAAGGGGAGCCACATGCCGTATCATCCTGAGAACTTTGTGGGAAAAGTCCACATAGATCTCTGGCAAGCACAAAGAGTGTATTAGCTCTGTGCATAGGGTCCTGTTATTGACTGTTTGCTAATGTATGGTCTGTAAAGAAATGGGTGTGCTTCATGATGTGCAGAGCATTGTTTTTTAACCTTTCTATCATTCAGTACATCAACTTATGTAAATAAATGAGAAACAGAGATTGATTAACTGGTGATATTTTATCCTATGGCAAGTAATGTTTCATGTCAAATAATAAGGAAAAGTACAGGGCTGTGATTGTAAGCATATTTACAAATCAGAAGATTGTTGTTGTGAATAAAGTGGTTTGGGTGGTATTATTTTTAATATATCAGCAACAGGTTTTCTGGGATTGGGAAATTTGACAAATTCTATCGATTTTGATAGTCACCTAATTCCAATTGCTGAAACGATTATTGGTAAAAGTAATACACTGCATAATATAAAATAATAACTTTAAATGAATACAAAATAATGACTTAAAAACAGGAATAATAATGCAATTCTCATGATGGTCTCTCTGATGCATTTTCCACATCTATTTTGTTACTTAATTTCACCAGACATAGCAAGAAAGGCTAGCCATGAGCTGCCATCATCGCTGAGGTTAAAGAGGAGCTACCAAACATCTGTGGCTTAATTGACCTACTGCTGTATGTACCAGCCAGCTCTGCTGAGGCAGAGAAAGGATTCAGTAAGATGAAGATGACCAAGACCAATTTGAGATTTTGTCTGGGAGCTGACAGGATCACTGATCAGCTTCTGCATACTCCACTCACCTTTAATAAGTGACTTTGATCCCATAACAGCTATCCATCTTTGAAACTTAGGTTCACTTCACACAAGGAGACCAAATGCTGGCAGAGTCCAGATTGAGAAGCAGGTGTAGGAGAGTGATGAAGAAGGGGATGAAAGAAGAATCCAAGAAATGGATATTGGGACATAATTGGACACTGACATTGATGCATACTAGCCTTTCATTATTTATTTTGAATACAAAAGGACACTATATTAAGTTTAACTCCTCACCACCTAAGACATTTTAGAGCTATTTGCCTGTTTTCTACATGTTGCTAATTTGAGGATCTTGCTTATTACAAATTTAAATTCATGAATGAATGACTAACAGTTGTTTCAGGATATGAAAGAACTGATAAAGAACTGATTGCTATAAAGTTAGTAGTAATGTAAATTGTATGATTTTCCATCTCTCCATCATAATGAGTTTTATGGGAACAAGAATATATTACACTGACAGTAATGCAATGATTTTCTTTCATTATTTATTTTGATTATTAAAAGACTACTTTAAAGAGGAACAAAAAGCTACTGTTATACCATGCTTTAGAGAGAAATTAAAGATCATATATGAAATAAAAATCATTTAATTGTTCTAAGAAAATGAAATAGTTTGACTTTTTTTTTCATGAAATAAGCATTCACAACAAAATTACTTGATATATATGTTGATGTCTTTAGCTTCCTTTCAATTTATGCAACATTCACTATTTAATTCAGTGATCTTTCTTATAACCTTCACTACAGAGTGCATTTTACAATGAGCTGTAGGATTGGCCCCTAAAACTGCTTGCAGGCCATGTAAAATGCATGTTTTGGGGGCCTGGCTGGCTACCTGAAGAAAAGTTAAGCATGAGTCCTGCATTAACATATAGAATTAATTCTTTATTTTTTTGTACATATTTTGCTTTAGACCTGCTAAAATGCTAATTTGTTTCCTGTGTTTATGTGTTTTTCTGTAGCACCTATCTTGTTTAAACATCTTCCTCCATTGAATAAGCATCCAGATGTGTTATCTTCATCAGATGGTTCTGTTCAAGTCAAAAAAGACCTGTGTGGAAAACAGAATATGGTGGGAGTATCAACAGTTGCTGTTGTGGGAATAGCTTTTGCCTCTTTTATTATTGGAGTTGGGTTAATGGCTGTACTGTGGTTTATACACATATGTACAGGTGTGTACTAATATAAAAATTCTATAGACAATTGAAGTATTTGTAAGAATGTTTCCCTCAAATTTTGGTTTAAATCAACTAAAAAGCCTGTTTTAAAATGCAAGCCAGTTTGTCAGTATCCATTTTCTCCACTAAAAAAATCTAATGTACTGAATATTAATGAAATTTTTGTGATATTTATCAGAAACAAAGGTCAGGTGGATCAACATCCTAATCCTAGAAGTACTGATTAGGTCTGTAACCACAATAACTTCTTAAACACATTTGTTTAAGCTAACTTGGGATCAAATTACTTGTAGGTCCGTGACTTTGTTGATTACAGTGTCCCTAAGACTGTGTGAGTTATATAAAATGCAAACAAATATACCATCATTAATATAATTAATTATAATTATTACTGCTGACATGAGAAATTTCACTTAATTCTTTACATTGAATTATGTAACAGACAAAGATATAAAATTAATATGAGGAAGTATATAGACCCACCAGTAGTGAATGATAGTAACTTGAGGGTTAAAAGTGACTTAGCCAAACTTACAATTAAGCTATCCTGTGAAAGCTGAATGAATATTTGAAATGAAATTTCTTGAAAGTCAGGATATTTTTGAATGGTAATACTTTTGCTAAAAAAACTTATTTTTCAACTGAAAACATCTTGATAAGATAGGTTATCTTATTAAGTAATAGATATTTAAGATTAAACTCAGGGTTGCTTATGAAAATGAATCATTTTGGTTGGCAAACACAAAATATACTTGAGTATCAGTGTATGCTTACATTGCAAGATGAACATATCATTGACAGTTACAGTGGTAAGAAGATTTTTAAAGCACTGTGTTTGATGTAAAGCATGCCGTGCATTTTTTAATTAACAAAAATTATTCAAATTAAAAAAAAACAATGTTTGATACATTTACAAGTCAAATTATTAGCAAAGGAAGAAATTATAATTGGATTAACAATATTGATCTTCATATTCTTTAACTGATAATAATTTAGGTAGCACATTTTTATATATTGAATTATATCTTTGTTATTGTGTAGTATTTTGAACTATACATAACCAGCAACTTTTAGTAGCAGCAGTCAGAACTTTTGATGAAAACTACTGACCTCTCAGTGAACTTTATTCATGTTTAAACCTGTGTTTCGTAGATCCTACTCGGAAGGCCCAAGACCAACAGAAAGGTGGTGTTCACCATCATCACCGTCACCATCATTCTGGCTATGATCTTTCAGGACATAGTGGAAGTTCAACTCCCAACTCACAAGCTCCCATGGCAGTCACGTGATTTCTATACTGTTGCTTTTGTTTTACTCAGTGGAAGAAGTTCCTGCCCTCCTTAAGTACCTGACTGCAGCTAGTTTATTTGTTTAGTATGTGCATGTATGTATGTGCCTGTGTCAGAAAGACATCACAATATACCTTGAAAGTACAACATCTTCATATGAAATTTTGGATACATATCACCATCTATTAAAAAAATGGTATACTTTTAAACTCAGGCTGTAATTGTATGATGTCAAATACATATTTATATCTTATAAATAATCTTTTTCTTTTGTAAAATGTTACTATACCATACGTTGTCTAAAAATGTACTTGTATTGAATGTACAAAACATACTTTATTAATGCTCATTCCAGAAATATTACCAGAGTTTGCTAGGTCACAATGTTTGATTTTTGAATTGTTATTTGTTGTATGTTGAGGTACTTCTTTGTGGTTATCAGTGCCATAGTGTCTCAGGTAAATCTGATATGTTTGGTTTATTATGTTAATTTTTATATATTACTGTAAAATTTGTATATGTTTTCCAACCTAGTTGAAGGGCTGAAATCCAGTGGTTCTTCTTCAGGGTCTGTATATAGCTTTTGTATGGTTGAACAAGTTTTTGTTATTGCAGAATCTGTTCAGTAACTTTGTTAGTATAAGTAATGGTTATTGCTGAACATCTCAGGAAAATATTAAAAAAAGATAAATACCAGTTTTGACTGTGTTGTAGAAAGTTTCAAATATTGAAATCCAAGAGCAGAATCATGCCAGTTTAATCATACTTACATAGTGTTGACAACAAAGAAAATATTATTTGTAACATTGACATTTCCAAACATGTTTTAGAATTATTACACCTATATTTGGTACTGTATATTTTCAGAAGTTGATCATACTTTTTATTGCATAAAAGTGTTTACACACTGTTATTTTTGTTTAGTCTTTCAAATAACTTGAAATACAGGTATAATTTATACTAGACACCTTGACACCATTTACTACATACAAGTACTACATGTAGCAGTACAATACCAGGTGTTTTGATGGAAGTTTAATCAGTACATATGGTAGTAGTGCCATATCAGTCATGTTGATGGAACTTTATGGTAATATGTTTAATCCACATATATATATAGTAGTAGTGGGGTCATGTCAGAATAAGAGAAGTTTGTGGCACTATTTGGTTCATAAAAGTGTTACTAGTGACATAAGCTTGACAGAAGATTCCATAAGTGTTAGTAATACCATACTAGACATCTTGACAGAAGTGCTAACAGTAACACATCAGAGATCATGACTGACTCATCTTACCTCATATTACTAAAGTTATTTAAAAAGATATAAATGCAGTGCTAATAACTTGAAACTCAAATGAATGCAACAATTTGGATCTTAGTCAACTAGTAACCAAAGAAATCACACACCAGTAATCTTTATAAGCTTGTAATTATTATGAACTTCTGATTCAAGCAAACTACCAACATAGTTCATAATTAAAGATTAACCCATAAACCAGTAATTAGTATAGCTAATTTAACATACCATTCTAACCACAAGTATGCAATGTCATAAGCAAAAACTTATAATGATAAGAATGCATTGATTCATCAGTTGGTACCTAATCCAACACTAAGAGTCTTTATAAGCTGATAAGATTGAGATATTCAACCAATCCACAAACTTGGAATACTTGTTCCATTTGATAATATGGCATCACAGCCATGTCTTACTGTAGTAAAGTAACTTAAATATCAACCTCTAGGAATTAAAAAATTAATTCTTTTAGTGAGAGAATAATTTTATACAGCCATATTTTGAAATAAGATTTTTATAAGGATCTCAGAACTTTTTCTATGTGATAACATAAATTAGTTCACTACTATAGTAATAATACAAGTATTTACTCCCTTTTTTTCTTCTTAACAGAGTTGGCACTATTTGTATTTAACTTGTTTCTTCTGTAAGGTGCAGGTTGTGAATCCAGACTCATGGTGTATATAAATTATTTCTATATGGCTTCATTTTCTTATAACTAATAAAGTAAGTAAGAATTAATAAAAATACTAATAATTGGATTACTTAAGCTGAATTTATAAAAGTACTAGCAGTACCATAACAGAACCTGGATTGACTCACCTTACTTTGTATTATTAAAAGTATCAAACATAATGTAAAGAAAATGGTAATAACTTGAAAAACAAACTAGTTCTAAATTTCATGTAAAATAGTAAAAGAACTTATTATGCTAGGTCTTGTGGAGCTATAACATAATTCTTAAAGGTATATCCATAAGTCTTAGTTAAGAAAACAAAGCCTAACAAGTATGTAAAACTAATGCAGAAGAGAGAGAGAAGTAATAAAAAGTAATAATAGTTTTTTTTTGTCATCCTTATGTAACTAATTTAATATTTATTTGATGCATTAATTTTAGGTTATGCTTTTGCTCCGTTATTTCAGGTTTTGTTTTGTTTATAAGCTTTTAAATTATTATATTTTACTTCCTCATACTTTGGCAGTGTTTGTATTCTTATATTTTGAACCATTATTTTCACATATTTTTTAGACTGAGAAAAACTAATGTGTAAAATTAATAACAGTTTTCTATTATAATTACATTTAATTTGTGACATCTTTTTAGTTTTTGAAATGTGCATCTTTTAGAGGATATTTAAATAAAAAATAGGATTTTAATCTAATTTATATAAGTACATTAGTAGTTTACCCTTTTCTGCACTAGATGACACTTGCAATCTTGACTCAAGAGAATCCTGAAGTATATCAAAGCACATAAACAGTTTAGAACATTTTGTTATAAATGTCCAAACTGCATTTATTGTAATACTTTACTACTATCTGATCCATCATTGTCATTACAAATTGTGTTACTGAATGAAACTTAATAATATCAAGTTAGAATATTTACAGAAACACTTTCCTATGCATAGTTTGATTATTGCTAACCTGTATGCATGCAGAATTTGTACATAGTTTATTCTTGGTAATAATTTAGAATATTATCATATTCAATAAAGAGTATTTAGATTCTTTGATAAATATTTTATTTAAATAGGTTTGATGTTTTCACATTAAATCCCAAAAATCTTTAGATGTTTTTTGTAGTCATGCATATATATGTTATCACATAGATAGCATACTATCTAGAATATCTGTATTCAGTTTTTATGCATGTCTATTATATTATTGTATTTCAAATGCTACAGATCTTTACTTAAAAATGGAGTTATAAGGCAATAGTTTTAATATTTTCTGAATTTTTGTTTCAACTTGAGTTAAATACTAATTATAGGGTGTAAACTAGGGCAGTTGGAAAAACAATGCTACTTTGTCATGTGTTCACTTGAAAGTTTTTTTTAATAACATGAAGTCAGCAGGCAGTTATGCCTGCTCCTCCTCTGGTGAATCAGTGGTAAGTCTGAAGGCTTTTAACACTAAAATTAGGGTTCAATAGTTGCAAAGGGCAGAAAACAGATAACTCTGTGTAGCTTTGTACTTAACAATAAATAAACAACACTAATTGCTAATAAGAATATACAATAGCATGAAGTTGAAAGAAATACAAGACTACACATTTTTTAATACTATTGTACATTTTTCTTATTATACTTATAATATATTGCTACTATACATGTTCATGAGAATATATATTTAAAGTGATATATGTATGTATTTTTTGTAACATTCAGCTAGAATGATTTATTTCTGGTTTTAAATAATTTTAAAGTTCATTGTGTGTTACATTGTGGTCATTTTTCAAAGTCATGGGATATAGCTAGATGTAAGAAAGTGAGAAGAGCTTCAGTTAATTTTCTTTACAAATTTAATACAATTTCTTCTGTGTGTCACTGTATAAGTGCAGGGATACAGGACTTGGAAGCATGTTTTTTATGATTATTCTCAGGTATTTGTAAATGTTTATATATTGTAGATTAATGGACACAAAATCTAACTTGTGATTGAAGTCTCTTTGAGGTGCTTCTCTGTTGTGTTAGGCTTATGACTGGCTATACAGAATAGAGACAAAACACATGTTCGTTTTTAAAGTTTTCTTGTATGGTATGAGTATGCATTCAACAATTCAGGTGTTTCATTAATGATATTGTATTTATAGATAAATGATATATGTCGTGTAAAAATACAGACAGATATTAGGGTATTATGGATGTTCTCAAGATCGATTAAGGAAAAATTTGATGATTCTCAAGTACTTTATTATGCAAAAATATTAGCTTTAACATGCAAACTTTTCCTTGATAAAAAAAAAGCACTATCTGTGTATGTTTTAATAAAAATAAGTTTTTTGTGATGCTAAAATATATTTCTTGAGACAGGATACCCAAAATATTGAAATTATACTATCTATAAATTTCACACAGGAATTATAAATGAATAATTGTTCAATTGCACAGATAAAAGGATTTCATGAGATCATTTTATTTGAGAACCAACACAGTTTTCATGATAATCTTGGTTTTTGAGTTTTTTTGGTTCCTATTTATAAATTGGTCATCTGGCAAAGATAAGGCTAAACTTTATTATTACTATTTTTTATATTTAATAAGTGAAATAATTTTTTCTTTATCATCAAAAGAATGAGTGTATGATTGTTTCACTCATTGGTTGATAATAACCCTGTTGTTTCATGTCTTAATCTGACTAAATCACTAATTCTTTTAATTTAATCTCAAAATTCATATAATTTTTGTTAACATTACTTAATTATAAAATTGTGGTTTGTAATAATTAGTTTAAACTGTACATTTATATTACTCATATACATTATACAAGCTTTAACTTTAAGCTTTAGTGCAACAAAATAACAACAAAACAATTCAGATATAGCTAAGCAGTTGCTTAGTTAGTTTATGTTGTAGTTTGTTCTGT